AAGCTAAACAGTTTGGAATATAGAAACCAAATAACGCATACACTTAAATATCTTAAAAATAGCCTTATAGCCTTGACTTAGTAATAGACAACATTTTTGCAAGTAACACAGATATTGCTACCCAGTATTTGAGACCAGCTGTACTGTCAGTAGTCTTTAATACTTCAATTGGTATCCTCTGTATGGTGTATGCATTATAGATATCCGAAGAACAAGATTTATGCGTTCTCATGGCCCATATTTTACACGTTAATTTTTGGAGTTTACTCCTTAAGAATCGATTTGCTTAAATAAGGGGCCCGGTATGAGAAAAATGTGAGGAGTAAAATCTATCGATGGATGACCTCGTTACGTTTTTGGTGCGCATCCTATGTCGCGCAACTTTGACAAACAAAGATGACGGATTGACATTAATAAAATTTATTTACCCTTTCATACAGTATCAATCTTTTTTAAGTTAAATAAACTCTTTTTACGTCTGGTTAGACTATCGAACTTAAGGAGAAAACTCCAGTCGTGCGTCGGAGCTGACACACACAATTTTTTGAAGTTATACTTCTTTAGCCGCGTTATGAAAAAATTATGAGAGTGAAATTTTAAGATGCGCGCGCATCACTGTAACACAAAAGTAACATAATGAAGTTAGCCGCGGGCGCGTTATGAAAAAATAATGAGAGTGAAATTTTAAGATGCGCGCGCAACACTATGAAACCGGCCGCTAAACCGCACATTACTCGTAAGTCTCGAAAAGAAGCTTCCAACAAAATAGTAATAGGATCTCTTAGTCGCACATGTTGGGGCGCTTGTCGCCTCTGATCACTGTTTTCATATTTATAATATTTATCCACATGTTTCTAGTTTCTATATTCTTAACACGTGTTAATGTTATACAAATGCGAAATTTATATGTGCTAATAAATTTTATTCAGTAGTGATTTAAATTGAATATTTTGATTATTTATTAAATTTGTCAAATTAAAACTGAACTTTATTGACTGCGTTGACTATCCTTTTCCAATCCTTTTATTATCTTATTGTAATTAATTATCTGCATGCAATTAAAAACTATTTTTTAATAATTCCAAAAAGAAGTATAACTTCTCACGCGCGTACTTAAGTACACACACCCATATTTTTTTTAATTATTTACTAATTTAGTACACATACAATAAAACAGATAAGAAGAAGAACAAGAAATTTGTACAAGGGCTCTGCTTATTTCATATTGAAATTTCTTCCAGCAGGTCCGCGAAAGGAAAAAAATATAAAACTAAAGGTCGTCAGTGTGTGCCTCCTGAATATAAAAGACAAAATACACTACTTACATATATATCTACATAGATGTACAAATAAACATATATACTAAAATAAAATATACAAGTGGTAAAAGGAGAAGCAATACAGTTCGGAAACAGTGATTCAAGAGGATAAATAGTGTTCCTTCAACCGTTTTTTCAAATGTAGCAACAGTTTGACTGTCTCTGATTATTATTATCTATATATATAAAAATTAAACCCGTTTTCCGTTGTCACGACATAACATGAAAATGGCTTGACCGATTTGGCTGTTTTATTTTTGTAGTTTTCTAATACTCTGTACAAGGTTCTTACGTATACATAAGATAGGTCAGCTATACAAAATAAAGTAGTGCATCAAAGCTACGCTAAGGCGGTACGAAGTTCGCCGGGTCAGCTTCCTCTTAATATGTATTGTGTTCATGATTTTTTTATTTTCATATTAATTTCATGCTCTGCCAAACTCACGAGGCACACATCCATGGATATGGATTTTCGAAGATAATATTATGTAGTAAATGTTATTAAAATTTATTTATAAAATTTATTAAAAATAATTACAAAATGTATACTTCATTTTTCATTCATCCATCATCAGCCTATTAATGTCCCCATTTATTTATTTATTTTTATTTAATCTTTATTGCCTTTACAATGCAAATGGCGGACTTAATGCCAGTATGGCATTCTCTACCAGTCAACCGGAAAGAAGGTGCAGAGAAAATAAAACGGCAGACAACGAACAGAGAAAACATTAAAAAGCATTAATCACTTATACATACATACATAAATATACATTCTAGCAACATATATAATAGGTACACACAAATATATACATACATAAATACATATCTAATAATAATATACAGTGTCTGATTATAGTATCCTAATTTAAATTCAAGCATTTTGCGATAAAGGACATTGCTCGTTCCCCATACATTAAATGCCCTATAACGCCCAGCAATGAGAAAATGCTAGTTGTGTTCATAATCATTCATAAACTCTAATTAAGCATTTGTTGAGATACAGACAACTTGAGGAACCGTGGCCCACTACAGAATGTATTAGATTTTGAGGTTATAATTATTATACTTAATCGTAAAAAATGTACACTTTATATATTCTGAATAGATTCAGTTTTTACCTCTATGTAAGCACTTAAATAATATGCATTAAATGTACATAAAATGCAATTAATAATAAAAATAATAAATGCTTAATATATTAATATTGATTTATGAGTGTTGTCAGTTGGTACCTATGATACCTATACCTACCTGTAGTAGGTAATAATAGATTTCTTTTCAAATGAAATGTTCAGTCTTTCCATTTACCAGTTTCTATATTTTACTATCGGTAATTAGGTATGTAACTGGTTATCAATATGATTTTCATAAAAATAAACAGATATTACATGGGATGGGAGTATAAACTATCTTTACATAATTTCAGAAATAATCTTTTTATAAATATAATATAAATACTAGCAATAAGTATTATTGACTAAGGTACCTAGTTCTATTTTTATGGTCGCCTATATTGCATTTATTAAGGTAAACAATCTTGGCACAACTTTTTAACAGAATCACCCGTTTAATAATAAAATATTAACGAAGCCAATAAACTAGTAAAATAAATCGTTATTATAGACTGAAACCTATTGAATCTAGTTATAAGTTGATTTTTAATTCTGTATTTTCAATAAAAAGGAGTGCCAAGTTGGATTAACAGACTGTAGTATCTAGTAACAGAACTTTTATTTTTTATTATCTTAAACAGATTGTCCGTTTACAATGATTAATTGCTAATAAGTTAAAAAAATAATAGAAAAATAATAGTGAAGGACATTCTTTTGGGCATGCTAGGGCCGATTTCGTCGATGTCCTTTAAATAATGTTTCCGCGCCAAAGCCCTAAACGCATTCCTGTTTGGGGCATTACGCACGTGTAAAGGAAGTGCATTCCAGAGCCGGATGGCAGAAAGGGTGTACGAGCTGGAGACAAACCCAGTATGGTGAATGGGTACTTCAAGTATTAAATTATCATTGGAACGGAGATTTAATTCATGGGAAGACCCCAGGAACTGAAACCGAGATTTCAGATATCCAGGGGTGCGTGGATCGTATAGTAAATTGAAAAGGGTAAGAACTGTCCTTAAGCACCTACGCTCCCGAATAGGTAGCCACTTAAGTCTATTGCGGAACTCTGAAATGTGGTCGTATTTATGTAAACCAAAGACGAAACGAATAGTGTTATTGAGAAGACGATCCAATTTAGTAAGAAATAGTTGATTTATATCAGTAAAACAAACATCAGCATAATCAAAGAGAGGGTGAACAAGGGATTGTACAAGAGAGACTGTTGTACCCATTGCTGGGGCAGAGACTTTCTCTATGGATGGAATAGGGAGATTGGGCCATGACCATGTGGGCCCAGTGCGGATTGGCGGGTGCTAACGGCTGCAGATGCAGCCGGGACCAACGGCTTAACGTGCCTTCCGAAGCACGGAGGAACTCGAGATAGAAGATTTTTTTTGGTCACCCATCCAATGATCTACCACTGCGAAAGTTGCTTAACTTCAACGATCGCAGCCGAAGGCGCTAACCACCTGCGCCATCGAGCTCCTCATATACTTCATACTATGCAATATTTAGGAAATTTGTGTCACTGTTGATAACCAGTTCTAGAGGCACGTGACTGAATGAAACTTTTATTTAATCGACAACACGCAATGCAATTAAAACTATCGACTTTGTCTTAATGTGGTATCGATATTTTCAGAGAGCTAATATCAGCTTGTTAGTAATTATAACATAATAATATTAAGTTGATAAATATATTGCTATAACCACTGAACTCAGATATTTTTAAATCGAAGCTTGGCTACCAAGTCATAGTTGTGAAACACAATTAAGCATGTAATTAACGATACAAGTTTGCTGTTATAGATTACCGCAATTCCGTTTGAGTTTTTGAAACCTTGACCAATAATGCAACTTATAGGTAATAAGCAGCAATTATGATCAGGTTGTATACACGTTGAAGGATAACTAGCTTGATTGTATTACAATTATAATTTTCGTGTTAGCAGCTATTGAATGTATTCTGTTAGTTTCCCTAAATAAATAATGGAGACTTCGACATCACCTTAGTGCACATCGTTGCCTAACATCAAGTGAATTTGGTTGAATCTATACTAATATTATAAAACTGCAGAGTTTGTTTGTTTGTTTGAACGCGCTAATCTCTGGAACTACTGGTCCGATTTGAATGATTCTTTCAGTGTTGGGTAATCCATTTAGCGAGGAAGGCTATAGGCTATATTTTTTTTCAAAATAATGGATCCGTAATAAAATTGCTATTTTGTAACAAAGGTGTAAAATCGAACCCCTTTTTAAGCGTGCGCTGCAAAAACTATTGAGAATAGAACAAAATGATGTACTACGGGTTTGTAGATCCCATTATGACCTACAAAAAAGTCCGGGAGAACATATATCTAGCTATCATGGTTTAATCACAATAACCGATTTTGTGTTCAAAATAATTATTAAATCGTCTGAAGAAGAAAAAAACTACGTTAAATATGTATCGTAATATTAAAAACACAAACAACCCTTCCTTTTCACCCCTCTACCACCCATATTTTTATGGCGATACGAAGTTCGCTGGGTCAGCTAGTTATACATAAACATAAATAAAAATTTGAATGCATTAAGACCAATTGATGAATTCATCGATTCAATTAAGATTAATTCACGATACAGGCGATAAATTATAAAGAAAGTAGTTCATCGATAAGTTTAGATAGAATGCGTGTAATCACTAGTCAATATTACAGTGTACACAGAGCAGGTTTAAGAACACAACAATATATTGGGGTTATTGTCAGTTCTTTAGTAAGAAGCCTACAAGCACTGTGAGTGGCCGTGTCTCTGCGGTGTGAAAATGATTGTATTAATAGTGATTGCGTTATGTATACTCATTTTATATTTTTATAATATTAGAACCTTTACATACTGGAAAGTAAGAGGTGTTAAATACGTAAAGCCAGTGCTCTTTTTTGGGACTTATACAGATATGTATCTACAGAAGAAAAGTCGAAGTCAAATAGCAGAAGAAACATATAGAAAATTCCCAAACGAAAAAGTGGTTGGAGTATTTAAATCTACAATACCTGAACTTGTTATACGAGATTCCAATTTGATAAAACGCATTTTGATTAACGACTTCCCATCATTTTATAGTCGTGGTTTGAATCACACCAATGATGTCGAAATCATAAGAAAACACTTGTTTGCGATAGATGGAGATTTATGGCGAATGCTTAGACAGAGAATGACACCAGCGTTTACCAGCGGTAAGTTAAAAGCCATGTTTCCGTTGATTGTAGAACGGTGTGAGAAGTTACAATCGAGAACCCTCTCTGCTGTTACTAGCAGTCATGCACTCGATGCTAGAGAACTGATGGCTCGGTATACCACCGATTTCATCGGAGCATGTGGTTTCGGAGTTGACTCGGACTCCTTAAATGACGAAAATTCAGCATTTCGAAAACTGGGTGTAAAAATATTCAATATATCATTGAGAGATTCAATTGTCTTAGTGATAAGAGACGTGTTCCCGTACAGTGAAAAGTATTTGAAATTATTGAAAAGGATAGAACCAGATATCCTGCTTTTAGTGAAAAATATACTCACCGAAAGAAATTATAAGCCGTGCGGGCGTAATGACTTTATTGACCTTATGCTGGAGTATCTAAATAAACCTATGGAAGCTGAATCCATAGAAAAAGTTGGTGAAAATCCCATACATGTGAAGATGATTTTAAATGAAGGACTATTTGCTGCTCAAGTGTTCGTATTTTTTGTTGCCGGATTTGAGACATCCGCTTCCTCGACCAGTTACACATTACATCTACTAGCGTTTTATCCTGAAGTACAAAAACGAGTTCAAGCTGACATTGACCGAATTTTGGCAAAACATGATAATAAACTTTCTTACGAGGCTGTGAAAGAAATGACTTATCTAGAGTGGACTTTTAAAGAAGGTCTTCGTATGTTTCCCTCTCTCGGCTTTCTTATGCGAAGGAGTACAAGAAAATATAAATTCGAAGATATTAATTTGGATATTGATAAAGGTGTGAATATAGTCATTCCTGTGCAGGCTCTGCATATGGATGCTAAATATTGGGATGATCCTGACGAGTTCAGACCTGAAAGATTTCATCCAGAAAACTTTGGAGCGACACAAAAAATGGTGTATTTCCCATTTGGTGAAGGACCTCGGAATTGCATTGGTAAGATTATTAAAGTAGATATAAAATTTGGTAATTGTATTTTTAAGTATGCCCGGCTCAAGCGGCTATTTCTCCCATTTTGCAATATAATTAAAGAAATATTTTTTTCATTTCAGGTAGCCGACTTGGCTTAATGCAGTCAATGGCTGGACTGGCTGCTATCCTTTCGAAGTTCACTGTCGAACCTGCACCTGAGACTGTTCGGTATCCACAAATATCACCTAAATCTAATATCATTCAAAGTATTACTGGGGGTTTGCCTCTAATGTTCCGTGAGAGAAAACAAGTTTGAGATGATAAAATGTTGAGAGCAAATTGATTGAAAATATGAATATAATGAACATGCTGTCGGTCAAAAATATTAAACTTGAATTGAAATTCAAGTTTTTGTACTATAACTGCGTGGTAATCGTATATTCCACTGTTCATAGAGGGGCCAAAAGTCCGAAACTCTATTTGAATAATTATATCATTACTAACTCAATAAATAAATTATCTTTAGTCATATAAATTAAAACATTTCTTAGAAAAGAATTATCGTTCCCGGTGCAAAATACATGTTTGTTTATTTCAATGCATTTTTATCAGTCAAGAACACAACTAAAAGTATAATAATATACTACGTTTTAAATGATGTACAAACAAATAAGTAAAGCAAAATTATTAGTAATTTTACCGAAAAATAATGAACTAATGAAATCGCAGTCGTTACAAATAAAACACCCACTTAGCATTCAACAACACATCAGTCAATCATTATTGTTTATTGTTAGTAAATTAATACAAGAATGAAATATTTCGTTCCCATTGCTAACTTCATTTATTTTGTACCACAATTATTTAACATAGTTTTAATTATTAAGTACGATGTTATGTCTGAAATAAACTGTGATTTATTTATCTAGCACATTTTACACATGTTTATTTATTTGTTTATATATTTTAAGGACAATCAGTAACAATTACAATACAATGAGCTAATGATGAGAATAAAATTAAAGTGGAACTAAGAGCACTGTTTATATTTGCCGTAGCATGCATGCGTGCATGCAGCATGTTACAATAATGTAATTAACTTTTACAATAGGTGATTTGACTTTGTTTCTATTAAGTACTATTTGACATTGATATTTCACATTACCTAACTATTTGGCATTACTGTTTTTTTTTGTTGTTGTAATTATTATTATTTGATTATCTCTTTTTCTTAATTTTATTGAATTTAATGAATACCTTCCATGATTGTTAATATTTTGTATGTATGACTTGCCGGCGTGTTGGATTATTCTGTAAGCCTGCATGTTTAAATTGAATAAATAAATAAATAAATAAATAAATGGAGAAGAGTAAGAATTTGCATAATAAATGTTTATATAGAGAAGGACCATATGATTAAATGTAGGATTAATATTAATAGGACTGCCAGCTGAGTCGTCCCTTGATTACTAGCATGGTATAATGAGCAATCCTTAAACCAATGTAGAATTTTACATCAGTGATTGCATAATTGCAAGATACATAATTAGACGTAGTTTGATGATGTCGAACAATGGTAGTTTGACACTTGTAAACAATAGCTCGCTTGATAATGATGTATTTTTTGTTTGTATTAATTAAAGTTAATTCTGTTCTGTTTGGAAATGATTTTGAAACCAAATAAAAATATGCCTTGGTAGCATAATTGGTCAGTGCATTCGCCCGGATTGCGAAGGGTGCGGGTTCGAGTCCCGTCTGCTGCCTGGTCCGCGTGGAATTTTTCTAGTTATATTTTCTTTACATTTAAACATCAAGCAGTTACATGCTTAAAAATAAAAAAATATATATAACTACAATTGCTATCCATTGTTTCAAATGTTTAATACTTGTAAAAGTATTCATTTGACATTGTGGGTTACCTATAATGCGAAGAGATGGCGCTGCCTTGCAGCTTAAAAATGGCTAGAAGAATTTCGACGCGGCCGTCAGGGCCGTGGTAGCATAATTGGTCAGTGCATTCGCCCGGATTGCGAAGGGTTTGAGTCCCGTCTGCTGCCTGGTCCGCGTGGAATTCCTTCTACATATTTTCTTGAGATTTAAAAATCAAGCAGTTACATGCTTAAAAAATATATATAATACTACCTTTACAATTTACTATGCATTTTTGTTATCAATAATGTCAAAGGGTGAACACGATAAAGCTTGTCTACATTGGTTTGGTTACAAAACAATTGTATTTTTGAATATCACGCTAAGATTATAGCTATTATGTAATGAAAAATACTAATATTAAATAGAATAACGTATAAACTCCCAGGCTAAGCAGCTTTGCGCAGAAGAAGCAGATAAGGTATATAATACTGACCCAAGATTTTATGAGCAGCTATTAAGTACACCTACGTAGTACCAGCAGCGGAGTACAGTCCTTGGTTATGAATCACTAATTATATATATATATATTGATAAATAAATAAAAATATAGCATACTGTCTGTGCGGAAAGAGAATGGGCGTGGCGAAAACGGAACTAACATTAAGATTTTTATTTGGCAATCAAACTCAGCAATCTGTGAAACGTCAAAGTTTTGTATTGATACGGATTTGTTTGTTGTTGTGATTTCTTGCGGTTTTTTGTCTAAAGAGTTTACCCCTTTTAGACATGATTAAATACACCTTACAAATACGGTAGAAAAGCACTACAGCGCTCTCCAATCTTAATCTCATTCTCTCTCCGCACAGACTCTTAACAGATAATTAATTGAGAACCTCCTTTTTAAAGTCTGTATTAAAAAATGAATTATTTTAGAGAGATTGTATAAAGTACTTGTAATTTAGTGTCTGTAAAATTATTCAATATTTATAGAAAATTTATGCGAGCATGTGGGTAACAGACCCACATGCTAGATTGGGAGCGAAAGAAAACATGGAATGCGGCAGCTTTTAAATTCTCTTAACGGCCGGCCCATATTCGAAAACAATCAGCTGGCAACTTGTCATTATTATTTTCGGATAGCATCGTAGACTTATAATGCTTATTGTAATGATATTGAGGTGGGGTTAGGAAACTCTCTCTTTGCCAACGCCGCCAATAATTATTTTGTTGATGTTCTAAACAAATAATTTTATTATTATTATTTGCTCAACTAAAATTGGTATGGATCAGATACTAAATCGAATCGTCTTTCATTTGGGCACCCATTTTACACTTTCCTTCAAAGCCGGCATACCATGAGTATCCTTGGTGCTGCAAGTTAGGGATGTCGAAAGTTGAAAAAAATATCGATATATCGATACATCGTTCCTTTAAAAAATATCAATATCGGCTTCGATATATCGCGAAAAAAACATCGATATATCGATATATCGGACCAAATTTTCCCAAAAATATCGTACAGTAGCTCACGAAATATGACACGCGGAATAATAATGGAACGAAAATTATCTCTCTAAAAATAGACCCTATTTTCGTATGATGACATAGACAATACTAAATACAGCACAGATCATAGATATGTTGAATATCATTAATCTGAGATCCAGTTACGATTTTTCCAGAGACGAATTTAGTTAGATCGTGATATGCCGCTAATAATGAAACAAATATCGTTTTTGATACGAATTTCGATATTGGTTATTTTGTATCGATGTATCGATATTACGAATCAAATATATCGGCAAAAAATATCGATATATCGACCAAAAAATATCGATATATCGATACATCGATATATTTTCAACAAGCCTACTGCAAGTGTCCACGGGCGGCAGTGACCACTTACCAAAAGGTGGTCTGCCAGCTCGTTTGCCTGCATAAAAAAAGTACCTTCAGTTTACTGTCCGCAGAAATCCATCTTTTTATACTTTTTATTTGATCTAAGCTAAGAGACGACATTGAGCAAGTACCGTGATCACTGTAGCTATAAAAAGATGCTTGTTTCGTCGATAGTTTTTTACTTTAGTTAATGTCACGTCAAATACAAAGTACGGGAAACTACCTAATCATTGACACTCTTCCTATTATTGGCACTTTTAAGTTTAGTTCGAAAAAAACAGGAAACAATAGATTGTAGGAATAATGCTGCCAACTTTCAAATTCCGTAACCATACTAGGTTTTTCTTTTTAATATGTAACGGCCTTGAATAAATCTATTGTCTCCTTGTTTTTTTCGAATTAAACTCAAAGTGCCAATAATAGGATGAGTGCCAATGATTGGGTGGTTTCCCCTATAAATGTCAAATTTTGACAAATTATATTTTATTTCTATAGGATTTAACTACCGATGAAACAACGCGGCTTTAATGAAGTGTCATTTTGATCTTGGGTATATCTGTATAGGTATATTTATAGATTGATCGCTAAAGTAGGTATCTCATTCTGTCATATAATTTACTCTATAAACTACAGGAAGTATTTTATAAATTTTAATTTTAATGATTTTGATTTTGGTAAAAAAAAATCTATAGTATTTAACCACAGATGAAACAACGCGGCTTTAATGAGGTGTCATTTTGATCTTGGGTATATCTGTAAAGGTAGGTATATTTATAAATTGATCGCTATAGTAATAATCTACTTCACTCATATAATTAACTCTTTAATCTACAAGAAGTATTTTATTGATCAGAATAGTTATTTTATTAATAATGTTGGTTGGATTTTCTTATTACTCACGAAATAATTACTTTGTTGTCTAATCAGCAACTGTTTTATTTCCTTTATATATTTCAACTTACCCTCTACTTCAAAGTTGTCAGTGGAGGTCCGTGGGGTGATTCTACCATGAGGGTTGACGTTATCCCTTCTCGGGGATGAAAAATATGTTATTTTAAAATAAGTATGGGAATGGATAGATTGAATAATTCTAAGCAACTTTAGCTCGACTTAGTTTTTAATGAAAGTCAATTATTTTCGACAAATTCGAGTGTAGACGTGTAAATTTTTCAACAAGTTAAACTATGTTTTCAGACGGTTTTTCATGTATAACTCTGAAAATAAGGATTTATAAAAAAAGACATTATAAGTGAAAATATTGCTTATTAAAAACATTATGAATACTTGGTTTAAAATATTACTTTAATGAATAATAACGGCTTAATAACTTATTAAAGGTTGGTTCTTCTTCGACAAATGCCAAAATATAAAGGTTCAACGTGAAATATTAAAAAAGATGAATAAAACTCACAGAACTTTTCACACACGTGTATGTGTGTCACGAGACTTACAGTGCTTACTTTGGGGCACCAATTAGCATTGGTGTGAGTGTGGGTAAATATATTTATGATTATAATTCTAACTGTACTAAATGTATGAAACTTATACCTCTCTGACGCTTCACGACGACATACGACAACA